GGGCACTGCTCGGACCGCCCCGCGCCGCCGCGCTGCCTCCTGGGAGGTGTACTTCTCACGGAGCGCGCGAAGCCACCTGGGAGTTGTAGGCCCGCTCATTTACTCCAAAATGCTAGCTGGGTTGGGCTGTTTGGCTAAAACTGCTAAAGTTTCACATAAACTCCAAGTCAGGAAATACGGAGACTTAAAAAAGAACTGTCTGAAGTGAAACTTATTTACACCCTGTCTTTGCTGTGGGAGGAGGGGGAGGTGACTGCGGATGTAGAACTTGACCTTGAACCGAGCAAAAAGTTGGTAACGTAGGGAGGGGCCTGCTTGGTGCGCTGGGTCTCCTGGGAGTTGTAGTTTCATTGAGCAAGCACAGGGGATCATGGAAGCTGTAGTCTTCCTGGCAGAAGTCTGAAAAAATCACTTAAAACTTCTAAAGAAATGTAAATGTCAAACTTCCATGAGGGCGAAGACTTTGGTCTGCTTTGTGCATTGATGTATCCCTGGAACCTAATAGAAAGCCTGTCACGCAATGGGTGAGCTATATAATTTTGGGATGAATGAATGTAGAAATCATAGAAGGTTCCTAAAGGGATGACGTAATGGATTATGGGACTTGTAGTCTGGAACCTGAAGTTCGTGCAGGGATTGGTGACATGCTTATTCATTTTGGGGTCATAATCATAGTAAAAAATTATTCATCAGAAATTGAAATTTAACTGTGCATCCCAAGTTTGTATTTTCTAATCTGGCCACCCTAAGAACCCCCTGTCTTGGGGGGAGGGATCTTGAGAAGCATGAGTACTCATACCCCTTGTACAGATGGAAAGACTGAGGTCACAGGGTGAAGAATACAACAGCCCTGGCCCACAACGTGTTGACATCCCAGGCTCTGATAGGGTGGCATTTGTGTTGATTAACAGCATTGGGTTCAAATCCCAGCCCCTCCACTTCCCATCTGTGTAACCTTGGGCAAGTCACCACCTCTCTGAGCCTCAGTTTCCTCAGCTGCCAAATATAATAAATAATCAAATACTCTTCCACTCCTTGAAGAGGTGTGTAAGAAGTTAATCAGATAACCCACATGAACTGACTCGGAAAGAGGAAGGCACTCACGAAACTCTCAATAAGTGTTGCTATTATAAGAATACACCCACTTGTGCAGCCCCAGGACTGTGGCATCTGCTCTGCCAGCAGAACACCCTCCCCCACTTTTCTGCATGGCTAGCTCCTCATAGAAATGGCATTGGGCATTTCTTAGCTCGGCATTGCCACCTCCACCAGAGTGGGACCTTGATGAAGGCAGAAACCAGATTGTTTATATCTGGAACCTCAGTGCCCAGAATAGAGCCTAACACACAGTGGTTAAGTGAATGAATGAGTAGTGAAAGCTCCAACACACCAGCCAACCCTTCCTAGCCATTCTTCTTCTTCCCTTTCTTACAGCCATTCTGCAGGCCTCTCCAGGGAGGTCCTAGGCCTGAGGAGTCAGGAGTGCCCTGGCAGGGCAGGGAAAGAGATAAGAAGTCATTCTGGCCCACATCACCAAATGTTTATTACCTGCTTCTTCCATCTGCACCCCCATTCTCCCAGGTCAGGATAGGAACACATAGGACACACACACACATTCACCCAGAGACAGGTCAAGATAGGGGCCTGGCCCTAGCCAGTGTTGCTAAGTGGTTAGAGTGTCAGCTCACACAGGGTCATGGGTTCAATTCCCAGTCAAGGGCACGTACCTGGGTTGTAGGTTCGATCTCCAGCCCCAATCTAGGTGCGTGAGAGAGGCAACCAACCAATGTGTTGATGTGTCTCTCTCATATAGATGTTTCCCTCTCTCTCTCTCTCTCTCACTCTCTCTCTCTCTCTCTCTCTCTCCTCACTCCCTTCTACTCTTTCTAAAAGAAAAAAAAAATCAATGAAAAAAATATCCTCGGGTGAGGATTAACAAAACCAAAAAAAGATAGGCGCCTGAACATGGCTGCCTAGAGCTGCCCATGCTGCCTGCTCTCCTGGGCCTCTGTTTTTCTGTCTAAAATATGGAGGTTCAACTAGTCCTCCTTCAAAGAATGAAATGGAATTTTGAGTCTTCCGAGGAGGAAAGGAATTGGTATTCATTCATTCATTCAAGAGGCAGTAACATGCAGGAATCAAAAAGCCACCTGCCTGGTTTTGAATCCCAGCTCTACTGCTTCCCAGCTGTGTGACCTTGAATCAGTTACCTGACCTCTCTGGGTCTCAGTTTCTCATCTATAAATGGAGTTAATGGAGAGGTTTTGTGAGGGTTACATGAGTTTAAACAAAGGTGATTACACAACACGAGGCACCGAGTGATAGATAAGGCGTTGTTATTATTATTCATTTAAAAGCATACACGTAATAGTTCCAGGGTCTCTTTATGTTTCAAGTTAGCAACATCCCAGGATGGCAGAGGCTATCAGTGTCCTCACTTGACAGAAGAAGAAGCTGAGGCCCAGGGTGTTCAGCAGAGCTGGAGAATGACAATGGGTTGCAGACACCTGAGCCATCTAACAAGCAGAAGACAAGGATTCTTGGGGACGATTCTGCTACCGTTAGAGAGAGGGCTGGGGTAGGAAAGGAGGAGGGGAAGAGGTTCCCGAGGCTCAGCAGAAGGCGTGCTGCTGAGTCCAGTGCTCCCAAAGCTCCAGGTCACCGAGTATCTGCTGTGTTCTGGGCCCTGGGCCAGGTCCCGGGGACACAGCAGTGACGCAGACACTACCAAGATCTCCATTGCCACAGCTTGCAGTCCAGGGGAAGAGGTAGATGGGTGACCAGGGGCGATTGGCGCTACAATGGGACTCACAAGCAGCTGTGGGAGTCCAGAGGAGGCCTAGGGAGGGGCGGGAGAATCAGAAGAGACTTCCTGGAGGAGGTGATGCTAAAGCTGAGACCCAAAGGGTAGGCAGGGCAGATGGGGCAGCTAAGCCAGCTCAACACGGGCCCAGAACACAGGCTGAGAGTTTTGGGGGTGAGCTCCACTCACCCCACACTGCCTACTGCTGCCCCAGATAAACACACCCAGAACAAGCATCAGGGGAATGTAAAAATTACTCCAGCTGATTGTGCACCCACACACAGGCTGGAAACTCTTTCCGGCCATGTCCAACAGAACTTTCCATGATGATGAAAACATTCTGCCTCGACAGTGTCCAGAACAGTTCCCAGGAGCCACATGTCACCACTGAGTGCTTAGAATGTGGCAGCATGGCTGCTATGGGACAAATGTATATGTTGAAGTCCGAAACCCCCAGGACCTCCGAATGTGGCCTTATTTGGAAAATAGGGTCGTCGCAGATGTCATGAGTTAAGGTGAAGTCGTACAGGACGAGGGTGGTCCTAACCCAATATGACTGGTGTCCTTATGAAAATGGGGAAATTAGGACACAGACATACACACCAGGGGAATGCCATGTGAACATGCGTGCAGACATGAGGGTGACGCATCAGCAAGCCAAGGAACACCAAAGATGGCCAGCAAACACCAAACTCTAGGAACAGACCCTCCCTCGTGGCCTCGGAACGAACCAACCCTGCCGGCATCTTGATCTCAGACTTCAGCCTCCCGAACTGGGGCAGAATGCGTGTCTGTGGTTGAAGCCCCCTCGTGTCTGGTACTTTGATACGGCAGCTCCCGCCGACCAAAACAACCAACCGACTTTGAAACTTTCCTTTCGTTCTAGCTCATGATAACTAGCCGCACGCCGCCAGCGGCCGCTGTATTGGACAGCGCAGTAAACGGTTTCCAGTCACCAAACCCCCGTCGTGCGGCGGAAAAACAGACGCGGGGGGCTGCCCTGAGAACTTGGCGAGACAGAGACAGGAAGACCCTGGCTGGGTCCTGGGAGGATGGAGAAGGAGAACATTCTACCAGCCGAGGGGGCCGTGTATTGAGGGTGTGCACCTGCGCTGTCCCATCGGCTCCTTAAATGCAAACGAACTCAAAGGTCAGCTCTTCCGTTTCACCGGCCCCTGACGGAGTGCTCAGCAGCACGTGGGCTTCCTGTCCTGGCTGGAACCTCTCACGATCGCCAGCCGTTTGGTGGGACACATGGATGCGCTTCACCGTGGCAAGCACGGAGCAACAACAACCTCACGCTGTGGGTTCTGCTTGTTACCGGCCCCTTTTACAGGTGGGGAAGGGGGAAGCTGTCAGTGCTAAAAAGCACTCCAGAGCGTAGGCACAAATGGGCTTCCTGTCCTGGCTAGATGTGGAACCTCTCACCATCGCCAGCCGTTTGGTGGGACACATGGATGCGCTTCACCGTGGCAAGCACGGAGCAACAACAACCTCACGCTGTGGGTTCTGCTTGTTACCGGCCCCTTTTACAGGTGGGGAAGGGGGAAGCTGTCAGTCCCACCCCGGGAGCCTTGTATTGCTCAAATGCTTTCAGAAGAGTAGTCCGGTTACACACAGGTGTGCGCACACACCCTCCATAAGAGGCCACAGAGATGTCTGTGCATATGCAGAGGCACAGCACATGCTCCTGGGCCCAAGCCATTCTGTCCTCTCCCTCTCTCTCTCTCTCTCTCTCTCTCTCAAGAGGCCACAGAGATGTCTGTGCATATGTAGAGGCACAGCACATGCTCGTGGGCACAAGCCATTCTGTCCTCTCTCTCTCTCTCTCTCTCTCTCTCTCTCA